CTAACCCTGACTCTAACCCTGACCCTAACCCTGAGCCTGACCCTAACCCTAACCCTGCACTGCAAAGTCAAGCTGTGCGTCTCTCAGGGGGACCAGTGCGTTCAGGTAACCCTAACCCTAACCCTAACCCTAACCCTGACTCTAACCCAACCCTAACCATCACCAACCCTGACTCTAACCAAACCCTAACCATCACCAACCCTGACCCTAACCCGGACCCTAACCCTAACTCTAACCAACCCTAACCACAACCAACCCTGACCCTAACCATGACCCTGACCTTAACCCTAAACCTGACCCTAACCATAACCAACCCTAACCCTGACTCTAACCCTGACCCTAACCCTAACCAACCCTGACCCTAACCCTAACATAACCCTGACCCTGACTTTAACCCTAACCCTGACCCTAAACCTGACCCTAACCCTGACCCTAACCCTAACCAACCCTAACCCTAATTGCGTTCCCCACATTTTTAATACCAACAAGAGCTGACTCTTATTTAAACCTGTATTTTACTTACCTGGGACTCCTCCATACCTGCAAAAACTTACCTGGAGACCACTTACCTGTGCTGCACCTGGAAAAAAAGTGCTAAAATACTTACCTGGGAGTGCTAGGGGCTAACAAACTGGGGGGGGGGGGGAGTGTGAGGGAGGATGGAGAGTGCATCCAAGAACCTTGTTTCCTAACCCAAAGCCAGGGATGACCAGCCCAGAGCACATCCCCATGTTCAACATGTCTGTGACTGTCCACAGAACTAAGTCAGTCTTTTCTGTTTTCAGAGGTGTGATCAGGGCCACAGGGAGCGCAGATCTGCCATGCCAGAACACAGAGACATCCACTCTGCCTTCATCACCATGGCCTGGACTTATTAGGTAAAGTCCAAACAGGTTTGAAACTCTATCTAAAAATTGAGATGTGTAAATATCTACGTAAAGGGAGGATTAGATGGGTCACTTCAGGTGTTTGAGGTATTTGTCCCATTTGAGAGGCCATGGATCATCTTAACTGGGTAACAGGTGCAAACTACAACACAAGAATAAAAGGTCACAGTTCTAACGTTTAGCGTGTTACACATGTTTAAGATGGGACGCTCTGGTGTAATTCAGTGCAATGGAAACTCAAATCGACCATCGAAAGGCCGGCAGAAAAAGCTGGATGCATGCTGGAGGACTTCGGAACTGCATATTAGTGTAGATTTTCAGTCATCCAGGCCAAAAGAAACCTTAAACCTCGAATAAAGACAATGTCCAGAGAGAGAGAGAGAGAGACCAGAGACCTTTCAGACCAACATGAAGCATCCTGTAGGTCCTTATTAAACCGCTAACATGGCCTCCTTAAACAGAAAACAAAGTGGTCTCCATACACTGCAATGGGCACCAGAGCAGAATATTATCAAAATGGTGGTTATTTACATCAGGAAACATTTTCCCTCTGTTTTCTGACATAGGGTTTTTTTCTTAGGTTTCCATGGAGACTCGGACCGAAGAAAATCCAAGGTTTTGTCCCAAAGAGGAGCCAGTCTTTAGTGATGCACAAATTCAGAAAAGCTACATCAAGCTAAAGGGGAAAGGTTGCTGTTGCTTTTGGGAAATGATCATAAATCAGCTGTCATTGTTGGGGCAAAGAAACATATTAATTAGGGTAATTTTTTTCTTCAGTGAGCATTTTTCTTGAATAGTTCAGAAGTAGGTTAAGGTCTTTTTCTTAAAGAGTGTGGGGTTGCTCATCATTCCTCTTGTGTTGGGGTCGGCACCATCCTGTTAAAATTTTCATATAGAAAAGGAATTCTGCTTACCTTTGGTTTGAAGGCCTTCAATTGTCTGAAAAGAGTCTCCTCTGATGGACTCCGGCGGTCCCCAATCGGACACAGTCTCAGAGTCATCCAATCCGGGTCACGGCACCATTTGTTAGAGTCGGTTCTTTAGTTGG